TTGGTTTGGTTTGGTTTGGTTTGGTTTGGTTTGGTTTGGTTTGGTTTGGTTTGGTTTAAAAAACAAAAAACAAAAATCAGTACTGAAAAGATGACTCAGCAGTTAAGAGCACTGGCTACACTTCCAGAGGACCGAGGTTTGATTACTAGCACCCACATGACAGCTCACAACAGCCTGTAACTCCAGTTCCAGGAAATCTGTTGTCCTCTTCTGAAGTCTGCAGGCACTGCACATAAATGGGGCACAGACAAACATACAGAAAAAAAATATCCACACACATAAAATAGAAATAAATAAGTCTCTCTAGATTAAAACCAATACCAACAAAAGCAGATCAGAGTTGTAATGGGAAAACAGAATCTGCTACAAGAGACAATGTCTACAAACAATCAGAAATAAGAAAAAAAACAGTATAAAACAAAATAGCTCACAGAATACAGTGTTGGCACCACCAAGGTCCTTGCACTCCAAGAGAAACCCTAAGGGAACCAGTAATGTTAATCATGAAGGGTGTCTCCTCAGCAAGAGGAGATAAAACCAATTACTTACCTGTATTCCATACAGAAAGCAGAGAGTGAATTATGTTAATGACCTAGTGACCTTTTGCTATCTGTGGAGGCAAACCTCACAGACCTTTTGCTATAGAGGCATACCTCACCCAAATTCCCCAGAATGCTCATTTCAGACTCTGCCCTCCCTAGACCATTACCCATTCTTAGAGGAGATGTCACACTTACTTGACGGCCTGATGACCTCTATGCTATTGGCCGGAGACCACACTAGATTCTAGGCCTTTTAGCTATAGAACCTACCCTCATGGTCACGTGTATTTTATAAAAGAGTTTCTATGTAGTTCACACCTTAAGCTTTTATTATGCACCTGGAACTAGACTGACTAGACTGACTGTTGCCTGGAAACTGTTTTAACTATGCTGACAATGAACTGCCTGGCATTATACTCCCCGAAGTCTGATCCAGCTTGTTAAAATCAATCTGAACCAAGTTTTCATTTGCATCTCTTCTTAGGTTTGCTTCCCTGTTTGGATATCTGCAGGGAACACCCTCAACATAGATTTGATTTGATATTGAAATAATAAATAGTAATAAATACAACAGGAACAATAAATCCAAATATAGTTCTTTTTTACTAACAACCAATACAAAATGTACAGCTCAATAATGTAAAAACAAAAAAAAAGCAGGTTTTTTTTTAACTGCTTCTAATGAATGTTGGAGTTGTTTCACTCACATGCTAGGGATTGAATCTAGGGCCTTGAACTAATGACTCTACCACCAACATACACCTCAACCCTGTGCTTTGTGTTTTAATATATTAACATTATAAAATATTTGTTTCTCTCAATTTTACATATCTTCACCATTTTATTGAAAAAAAATGAAAAAACAAAAGGCATTGTATCTATGTTTGCAAATCCTTAAGGCATTTCTAAAAAAAAAAAGTTGTGAGTCATAACATACACTTCAAGTATATTAAATACATTCTCAGAGATAGTATGGATGTTATGAAAAGTACACTAAATGTCAACAGAAGAACTGTATGCTCCTAGGACTTAATCATAAAAGTACGAGGAAAAGAGACACATAATAACAACACATCATCAACATGTAACAAAAATATAGATCTTCAGCAAATGGAGACTGGAATGGACTGAAAAGTTCTCAATACTCAAAGAAGAAAGCAAAATAGTTATGAAATATATATTATCAGGCTTTGTCATAATGATGGAAATGATAATTAAAGCAACAAAATAAGGCAAGAAAGATGGCTGAACAGGTAATGTGTGCGCCATGAAAGCCTAGTGGCTTGAATTAGTTCTCTAGAATACATGTAAAGGTAGGAGAAAACTGACCCCATAAAATTGTACTGACTTCCCTATACAAGAAGGAAGGCACAAGTGAGGATGCTTGAACCTCACTTAGAAGGGGGAGTAAAATAGTCATAAGATGCAGATAGAGGGAGGGAACTGGGAAGGAGAGGGGAGGGGAAAGGGAAGGGAGGGTCCAGGATCACGTGTAGGGAGGAACAGGTGAGATGGACAGATGTCTATGAGAATGAATGGAAATCTGCAAATGGGGGGGGGGGGGAAGGTAGAGGCATCTCCAAGAAGAGATAAGGAAGAATCAATGAGGGTGTCCTTAGCTGTGACTCACAGCATGAAGAATATGGAACCAGAAGAGGCCACCTCCTGTAACCAGGCAGGAACCCCCAGTGGAGCAACATCAACCCATCCACAAAACTCTCAACTGAAAATTTATCCTGTCTACAAGAAATGCAGGGATGGAGGCAGAAGCAGAGACTGAGGGAACAGCCAACCAATAACCAGCCCAACTTGAGAAGCATCCCATGAGCAAGCACTAATCCCTGACACTATTAATAATACTCGTCTGTTATCCTTACAAACAGGAGTCTAGCATAGCTGTCCTCTGAGAGGCTCCAGCCAGCAGCTTACTCAGATAAAGACACCCACAGCCAACCAGTGGAAGGGAGCTGGGGACTCTTTTTTTTTTTTTTGGTTTTTCGAGACAGGGTTTCTCTGTGTAGCCCTGGCTGTCCTGGAACTCACTCTGTAGACCAGGCTGTCCTAGAACTCAGAAATCCACCTGCCTCTGCCTCCCAAGTGCTGGGATTAAAGGCGTGCGCCACCACTGCGTGGCGGAGCTGGGGACTCTTATGGAAAAACAGGAGAAAGGATTATGGCCTCTAAGGAGATAGGAACTCCACAGGAAGACCAACAGAGTCAACTAACCTGGACCTCTGGGGCTTTCAGAGTCTGAACCACCAACCAAAGAACATACACGGACTGGACCTAGGCCTCCCTGAACATCGGTAGCAGATGCACAGCTTGACCTTCAGGTGGGTCTCAAATAACTGGAGCAGGGGCTATCCCAAAAGCTGTTGCCTGTACACAGGGTAGGTTCATCTAGCTGGGCTGCCTTGTCTGGCCTCAGTGAGAGGAAGCCCTCAGCCTCACAGACACTTGATATGTGAAGGTGGGGAATACCCAGGGGAGCCCCGACTCACTCAGAGGAGAAGGGGAAGGGGGAAGAACTGTAGAAGGAGGTGACCAGGAGGGGGGCCAGTGAATGGGATGTAAAATGAATAAGTAAAAATAAAAATAATAAATAAAATAAATAAAACTGTACTGACTTCCACATACACACACATACACGTCAATAACAAATACAAAATCTAATCAAAAATAAAATAACAAAAATAAATAATTTCTAGTCATCAGACTAGCAAAATGAAAAGGAGAACTAACATAATCTTCCATGGCTACTGATGGGAAAGTAAATTGGTTACCTCAGAAAGGTAGAATCTGGCAATATCTTTAAAAGGTAAGGGCTACCAGACGGTTTAGCAGGTAAGGGCACTTCCTGCTCTACTAGGAGACCCAACTTAGGTTTCCAGCATCCACATCTTACAGCTCACAACTGCCTGCAGCTCCAGCGCCAGAGGATCTGATATTCTCTCTGGCCTCTTCTGGCACCTGGATTCACATGCAAGTAGCTATTCACAGATACATACACGTAACTAAAACAAAATCTTCAACAAAAAGTTAATTACAGCCAGGCGGCGGTGGCACATGCCTTTAATCCCAGCACTTGGGAGGCAGGGACAGGCGGATTTCTGAGTTTGAGGCCAGCCTGATCTACAGAGTGAGTTCCAGGACAGCCAGGACTACACAGAGATACCCTGTCTCGAAAAAACCAAAACCAAAAAACAAAAACAAAATAAAACAAAACAAAAAGAACACTATCTGGGGACTGGGGAGAAAACAACCCAGATGCCATATACTATCCAATTTTCAGAACGTTACAGAGGGAAAAAAATGTGACATGGTGGATTTTATTTTATACAGAATAATTGTGTATTGCATATACTGCAGAGGAGTAGGGAATGCTGGAATGCTCATCACTAATATATTGAATTTTTAAAAATAAGTTATAGAGGATGACTTTGAACTTCTGGTGTCCCTGCCTCTCCCTCCTGAATGCTAGTATGCTCCATATCAACTGTCTTTTCTTTTTCTTTTTAGAAATCATGGCCTCAAGTACATGCAGAATAATTCCGGGAGGAGGAACCCATTTAAATGTGAGAAATGAAATATGATAATATAATGACCCTAAGTTGGGTCTCCTAGAAAAACACGAAGTGCTCTTACCTGCTGAACTATCTGGTGACCCTTCACCTTTAAATATAAGAATTATGGCAATAATATGAATAATGGCTATGCAGATCTCCTTACTATATTTAACTCAACAGAAGGGGCCTGTGGCAGATAATATGGACATCTCATGTATAAAAGTCACACTTTGTCCTGGTATGATCATGATTGAACTATTGCACTAGCCCAATGGCGGGGGAGTGGGGCACAGGGATGGAGAAGATCCTGAACAGCACTGAGTACAACAGGAAAGAATACCCTGGAGACTATTGGAGGATAGCTCACTTGTTAGAAGGGTGAAGGGAATATTTTTACTCTAATCGCCGGATGGGCCCATGTGGTGGTATGTTATTGGCTGGGGCAAGAACACTGAGGATGCTTCATTTGCATACTTCAGTACAGCAGGGGCCAGGGGAAAGAACCTTATAAGGTCATACGCAGAAGTCAAACTCTGAATGTTTCAGGTCCAGCACTCAGATAAACGGCAACCAGCCCTTGTAACCCTGGAGACAAATGAACTTATCGGTTGCTACAAGCACCAGGGCAATCTGGGCCTAGGAAGCCTAGTTGCTGGGGTCTGTTAGTGCCAGAGGGAGGCAGTGAGGGAACAGCCAAACTCCTGTCACTCTCAGGATGAGAAAATCCAGTGTTTGGGGCATGCTTTGACCCCTTCTCAGCTCCAGGCTAGCCCTGCATCTCTTCAGAGTGTCTACTTAGACAGCAGAAGTCATACTCTACTGGACGGAGTTCACATAAATATAAAATGGTCTTTACACAAGGTGCATCCCTTTAGACCTCAAGACTCTCAAGAGATATTCTTTCTAAGTGTGACAAGAGTGGAAGAGTCTTTCTCAGGAAAGGTTTCTCTCAGTACATTTTAAAAGTCATATAGGAGAAAAATGACAGAAGTGAGATCTTTGATACGTTGTCCTTCTCTTCACATCATAAAATAGATGCTGGCAGCCGACAGTGAGGAAAAAGGCTTTCTACCACACTCGGCCTTCAGGAGACAACATCAGAGAACTCATACTGAGAGAACTGTACTATGTACCCAATGTACAAAAGCCTCTAGGTACACTTGCACTCTGGGTATTCAGTGTAAGAGAATTCATACTGGAGAACTTTTCTTTTTCTTTTTTTTTTTTTGGGGGGGGGGTTTCGAGACAGGGTTTCTCTGTGTAGCCCTGGCTGTCCTGGAACTCACTCTGTAGATCAGGCTAGCCTCGAACTCTCGAACTCAGAAATCCGCCTGCCTCTGCCTCCCAAGTGCCTGGAGAACTTTTCTATGGGGAAAGTAATCTTTCAACAACAGCTTTACCTTTTTTTTTTTTTTAAGACAAGATCTCATGTATCCCAAGCTGGCTTCAAACTCACTATGTAACAGGGGCTAACACTGAACTGCTCACCTTGCTACCTTTGCCTCCTGAGTACTTAAAGACACAGCTTTTTATTTTAAACCAGGAAATAGAAATATGCTAGAGAAATATCATCACACATAATAAATATGGAAGTAGAGTTGAAATTCCATTTTATTTACCATTAGGGATAAACTATAAAGGTGAGGGAAGTTGAAATGATTTTGGAGCCATAAACAAAGAAATTACCTAAATATATGAATTACCTAAATGTATCAACATGGCTTCCTTCAGTCACAGACAAGCAGTTCTTTACTACAAGCTCCTTGGTTTGCCTCAAAAAAAACCCAACTAATGGGACTCAGGGTCTGATGATTGTCTGATGATCAATGTCTGATAAAATCATGGCAATGGATAATCAATTTGCATGTGAATGCTATCAACAACAACATGTCTTTCTTCATCATAGATAATCAAAATACAGTCAACCTTGAAGATTCACACAGAGATCATGCATCCCTTAGCATACTCTTCAGGATCAACGTGTATATGATTTTAAAATATTCGAAGAAGGCTGAAAAGTATACCATCAATTTCCGCTGCATATTCTATGTTTTCATTACAAACAAATCAGACAGCGTATAATAACTTATCAATGTGTTTGTTGTAAGTAGCATTACACTTTTTTTTTTTTTGGTTTTTCGAGACAGGGTTTCTCTGTGTAGCCCTGACTGTCCTGGAACCCACTCTGTAGACCAGGCTAGCCTCAAACTCAGAAATCTGCCTGCCTCTGCCTCCCAAGTGCTGGGATTAAAGGCGTGCACTACCACCTCCTGGCCAGGAGTGCAATTTCTTAGTTCTAATAGCAAACCAATATCTAGGCAGAATTAAAGACATTTAATTCTGTGTGTTCAGATGCCAAAAATAATGATAAGCTCAACCAAAAGCCCTTACAGAAAAATGGAGAGTAGACACAACATTGGTTTCTGTTCAGAAATCCTAAGTACTTGAGGACAAGAAAAGATTCCTTCCAGTAACAAAAGGACAGCAGTTTTAAAATATTATCCTCATCAAATATAGCATTCACACATGAGAGTAAACATTTTCAAACTGGCAAAGATTCAAAAACTATCTCTTTGAAGGAGAAATTCCCCAAGAGGACATAACAGTAATATCTCACAATGATATGTGAGCCATGTCCCAAAAGACATGTAACAGAGGTGCTCTCTATAGACATTTTAGTCCTAAGGGGGAAAAAACTGTAAGCACTTCAGCAGCCCTTCAATACTAAGGGACAAAATATGGCACAGGCACACAGTGAAATACTTAGAAGGTAATGAACTACTGATACAGTAACTAGCATAAACTTAAAAACATTGTTGAGTAAAAAAGCCAGATGCAAGAAAACGAAGATCTAGTTAATGGGGGATAATCAAGATAGTGGTTACCTTTATACTGTACAGGTTTTTTAAAGTTGCACAGTTGGGATCTATGTGATGGACAGGTATGTATTTCTATATATTAAATCCACTGAGGGAGTTTGGAAGGATGACTTAGCAAATAATAGCACTTGCCACTCTTGAAAATGATCTGTGTGAATTTTCAGCACCCATGCTTGGTGGTTCATGACTCCCTGTAACTCCAGTTGCAGGGGACCTGATAACTTCTTCTGGCTTCCATGGGTATCCGTTTGCTCATAGTGCACGCAAACACATACTGGCACACACATATACACATAAATAAAAATAGATTTTTAGAAAATCCACTGAAGCTGGGCATTATGGGAGAGGTTTCTAATGTCAGCAGAAGGGAGATAAGGATGAAGTTATGGTTATCTGAGCTACATAGTAATTTGAAGTCAACCTAGGCTACATGAAATATTGTTCCCCCCCAAAAAAAATCCAATATCATTGAGTTGCAAAGATGAGAACATTATACTTGTTGGTATATCGATATGTCATATGTATATATCATATATCAAAAAAAAAAAAAACACTTGCGTTTTGCCTGCACGTATGCCTGTGTACCACATGCATGCCTGGTGCCCTCAGAAGCCAGAAGATGTCAGATAACCTGAGACTGGAATTACAGACAGTTGTGAGCCACCATGTGGGTGCTGGAAATGGAACCCAAGTCCTCTAGAAGACCAGCTGGTGCTCTTAACCACCGAGCAATCTTCAAGCCCACATATATTCGTTTAAAAACAGTTTTGGTTTGGTTTGCTTTTTTTTGAGATCAGGGTTTACTATGTATCACAGGCTAACCTAAAACACCATATGAAGCTCAGGCTGACTTTGAATTTGCCACCCGTCTACCTCAGGATCCACATGCTGGCATTACAAGAGTGGACTACCATGCCAAGCCATTTTAAAACTAGATGCCAGGGTGGAAGAGTTGGCAGAACAATTAAGAGCATTTACTGCTCTATCAGGGAGCTGGAGTGCAGATCCCACCACCCGCTTTGCGATGTTCACAAATTCCTGTTCCAGGGGATCTAACATCTGCTTCTGGCCTCAAAGGGCACCTACACACACACACACATACACACACATACACACACACACACACGTGCACGCACATGCGCAGGCACACGCACATGTACACACAAACAAATACACATAAAAAGACATCTTTAGGAGCTGGAGAGATGGCTCAGTAGTTACCAGTGCATACCGTTTTGTAAAGGACTCAAGTACACTTCCCAGCATCCATATCAGGAAACATGACAATTGCCTGTGTCTCCAGGTCCAGGGATATGCGCCTCTGGACTCTGCAGGCACCCACACTCGTATGTGCGTTCACATTCACACATACACATGATTTGAAAATAATAAAATATTTAAAACTAAATGCCAATTGATGAGACACAGAGATTCATGTTTCAGTTTTAAACAAACCCAGACAAAAAGCAAACACAAAAATGGATCTTGTTTTATAAGTGAGATTCCGTAACTATTATTAGTTAGCCCATCTCGGACTAACAGCATCAGAGAATTTGTCACTCACATGCTTGGAGAGTTAGATCAAAAATACAGCTATAACATCAGTATGATCTAGCAGTTCAGCAATCACTCCAAACACTAATTTCCATCTTTCCCTTAGGCTATCTTCATATTGGTAATCTTCTTTTGTTAATGTGTATGGGTGTTTTGCCCACTTTCACGCCTGACTCCCCAAGAAGACCAAAAGAGGTTGTCCGATCACCCTGGAACTAGAGTTACAAACAAATGTGAGCCACAGTGTAGGTGCTGGGAACCGAACCTGGGTCCAGTGGAAGAGCAGCAAGTTCTCAGCCACTGATACATCTCTCTAGCCCCATATATTACTTGTTCTTGTATTAGCTCCCAATTACATCATAGCTGCCAGCATAGGCAGAATGTACTTCTTTTGCATTCCTTTTTTTTTTTTCTTTTTTTGGTTTTTTGAGACAGGGTTTCTCTGTGTAGTCCTGGCTGTCCTGGAACTTACTCTGTAGACCAGGCTGGCCTTGAACTCAGAAATCCGCCTGCCTCTGCCTCCCAAGTGCTGGGATTAAAGGCGCGAGCCACCACAGCCCGGCTTTCTTTTGCATTCCTATGACTGCTTTAACTCTATTGCTACAAACTTAGCATCTTAAAACAAGAGATAAACCTTAATAAAGATTTTTTTCTTCTATTCTGGAAGCCATAAGTATAAAGTCAGTATCACTGTCTGAAATTAAGG